CTGTTGACGCATTGTGGTAACATTGAAACGCTTCAAATGATGTATTTTGCGGACTACACTGGTCTGGGACTAGATTCCCCAGGCTCGGTCTCTCGCTTTCTTCCCTCTTAATTGCACCAGTGGACTGTCTGAACCTTCCTACTTTGTTTGCATGCCAATGTCCCTTTTTCCTGTGAAAACCTGGTACACACCTGCGCCGACCAGGTCGTGTGTGGTCCGCGCAGAGGAGCTGTTTGCCCTTGTTTGCCCTTGTTTGCCCACCGTCCTAATTCTGTCTTGCCACCCGGGTCGAGGAAGAAGTGTGGCCACCTTTACGCAAGTCTGTTTAGCACTGTAGGGGTCTAGGTAGTGTTTGTGCCTGGATCGCAGCAATCATCAGGCCGAATCCGAAGTTGTAGTACCGTGCAGACGTCACCAGAGCGAGAGCTTTATTGCGCACACAACCCTGAGTTGCTGTCTCAGACAGCAGAGGCCACCAGCGAAGTTAGAGCTGATGTTGACTGCGTCCACTCGTGTCCGAGAGTGTCTGAATATGCGTGGGAGAGAGATGACAGTTGCTTTTACATGCTTTTGGAGAGGTCAAATGGTGTACTGTTTGGTGCGTTGCGTTGCCTGAGGGGCACCTTTCTGTTGGCTGGCGTGAGTGGAATGCTTAATTGGCCCTTGGAAAATGGCGACTGGTGTGGACACGCGTGTGTGCGCGTCTGTGTGTGCACTTGTATGCGTGCGATGATTTCGGTCAAGGGTCTTAAGGTCAGCGAGTGGGTAGCAGCTGCCTGTGAAGACGCATAACGTAGGGGCAGCGGGGGTTGATCGAACGAGAAAGCCGGACAGTATCGTTGGCTGTCCGCCACAACACAATAACCTAATATGCACGTGAATAATCGCCCAGGGCCCACTATACTGTGGAAACCGTTGTTCGAACTAATCAGCTTGTTTTGCGGAGTTCGTGTGTGCCCTATCTGCTACTGCTCTCTGACTTTTTCTCTGAAGATGAATCCGTGAGGGATGTCGAAACATCAGTCGAATAAAAGTATTGTCCCAGCGATCGAGTCGTTTTCTTCGCGTGCTTGTCTGTTGTGCCGTGCGGCGTCCTGCCAACCTTAAATAGGCCTTTCAGTCCACCGACTTTTCACTTTACTTGATTTCCTGCTGCGTGCATAGACGGGATTGCTGGTTGCAATGTGTTCGCTACTCCATATCCTAGTAGGTTGCATCAGCGAGGCGTTGACGTCCGTTGGCGTGGCAAACAACCAGACTCAGCGGCTCATGTATGCGAACTGGTCTACACGCTCGCTCGCTCGCCAGTCTTTGGGGCAAAACAATATCCATCACTTCGCGCGTTTGTTAGTTATCATTAACATTTCTGGACTAGACCACACTAACGTTCTCGCGTCGCCTATTTTCCACCACTAGTCACATATATTTGCTCTTCTCTCCCCCTTCTCCCCCCTCTAGCTGCTCAACGCCGGCGGTGGAGTACTGCTCACAAGCTCTAGTATCACAGTGACCACGGAAAAACTCGAGCAGATGGTTAACCTACTGAGCCACATTGCCTATGTTGGCCCGGACCCCTACAATAACAACAGACTGACAGACGTGTCTGACACAGGCGACCTCGAACGAAAGCTGCAACTGATGACAACCTACATGTAGGCTTTTATTAGTGTACTCCTTTAAACTGTCCTTGCTCATTGTCGTACGTGCGCCTAGGTGGGAGTTCTGCACCCAGGTGAATTATTTTCTAGTGAAAAAAATGCGGGCGTTGGGATGACCCATCTTTAAAAGGAGCCCATGACTCCCATCCTGCCAAATAGAATTTAAGGTGTTACGGAGTTTTTAGGCAACTTCATGTATTCACCTATATCATCCTTAAAGGCATAGAGACTAACGGAAGTTGACAATCCGAAAGGAAAGCCAAGCACCACAAAGAACAGGCTTGTTATATCTGATAGTTTGATAGCATTGAACCACGGCGAGAAAAATCCAACAGCGACTTTATAGTTTTCTGACATCTGTAAGTATTTACCAGATTGACAGCACAGGTACTAGCTAAAATTTCAGGCAGATTTTGACGGGAATGTGCTATTAATATTTGACTTCAAGTCCATCAGTCATTGTTAACCGTGTTATATTTACAAGCTGCCGTAAGGCAGGAATTACTATAGTTTACGTAATGATTGGCCATTCTGCTATCACAGGTGCTAGCTAAGGGCGGAGCCACCTCCTTCGCCGGTATTCTGCAGCTTCGGGCGAAATATTCATACCAACTTCCAGTCTACACCTGTATATCTTTGAATAAACTGGTGTACTTCGAAATAGAGATTAATTTCTGATAAAATTAAAAGGCTGACGTATGCTAAATAATTACATAACATCTGTTTTTATTAGGAGACTTTTTAAAACTGTCCTAGTTAACTTTCATTCGCGCCCACATGGACGTTATGCCTCAAGCTTTTGGTATCTTTTCTGTGCGAGCATTCCAGTTGTCTAATTTCAGTCCGTTGCAGAACACGTGCA